CTTTTCAGATTTGAGAAGATGAAGATCAATAATGGAAAAAATTGAGGATCTAGAACTCGTTGCAAAGTAAGAAATGATCCAAATTTGAAAAGAAACGCCCTAACAACCGCTAAACGAAACCGTATTTCGAATTTTGAAGTGTTCATAGAAAATCGAGTAAAACTTCAAAAAGCTAAAATTAAAAAATGTCCTTGAAACAGCGTCAAAAAACCGTTATTGTATTTTGATGTCAAAATTTGTAACAGGAAAAAATTATTTGATCTCCTGTTCATAAATTTTTGTAAACATTTGTAAATTTTTGTAAATATTCCGGTATAGTTTTATATACGAATGCATGCTTCTCATTGTAGTATAGATTTTCTGTTGCTCAGAATTATGTAAATATCGAGGATATCACCTTCTCACTGAGGCTAGTATCTCACATTAGCGCAACGAGGTGCGAGAAAACCTCTCGGCAAGACTTTCAAACGACGCGTAATTACTGTGCAGTCTACGCGGCTTTGCCAGCAGCTCTGGAGGCTAGCGGTGATCCATATTAGTGGATAGGGCTTAAAACGCTGATCTCAGATATACCTTCTTCCTTCTGCGATGCATTGTTCTGAAAAAAATTATGAGATTTTCTAAAGCCGAATTTTCATGCATTTCGAGGTCGCAAAATTATGATAATCGCTACACAAAAGCGTGCAAGCTCAGGCAAACCACCTAGCAAGCGTTGTAGGTCTAATTCGAGTGCATTCTAACGTTTCCGAATGTTTTCCGACCATGTTACCCACCGGTCGTCATTTCCTTCAGATCATATTATATTATAAAGGCTTTTCATATATTAGGTCATTCCGAAAGTAATTTCGCTTTTTTCATATGGGCACCACATTTGACGGAACAAAGGTCTCTGAGAGATCTTAGAAGCAATCGATGCAGCATTTCATTCTCTTTCTAATGGTTATGTAAATGTTGCAAAACAGCCAATGAGCCTTAAGAAAATAACCAAAATCTGCGACCCATGCTTTTTGAGATGGTCAAGTTTCACGATTTTTTAAACCTTTCATATCAATCTTCAGAAGGAGCTCAAGTAAAGATTCGATAGAGTAAACCTTATAGAATACAGTGCTACTTTCTTCCCTTTCTCGGAGCTCGCCGTAATTTTTTAAAAGATTTTTTAAAAGAACCATCGGATTCTGGCAGGCCCACCTCAACCATAATCGCATCAAACATCATATTTTTTCGGAATTTGAGACAACCAAGATGGTATTATGAGTTAGCATTAATTTTACAAAGCAAGCGAGGGTTTACGGGTTCGAAGTATCAAATTTCGAGTTTTTCGGGTGCAGCCTGGGGCTCGCTGAAAAAATGAGTTATGATGATTTTATCCCCGGAAACTAAATGAATCGGAAACAAAAACATCCATTAGAGAGAGGAGAAAAAGCTGCATCGGATGATACCCGAGCTGCTCAAAGTTTGATGTTCTACTAGGATTTAGCTGTCCAAGTATGGAAATCGGTAGCATCAGTTAAAATTCTGTTAAAAATGTATGACAAGCTAAGGAAAAGAGAAAAAAGTTGCACTGTATTCCATGGGGTTTGCTCTATCGAACCGTCATTTGGCCCTTCTGAGAATTGATATGAAATTTTCAAAAAATTGTGAAACTCGACTATCTCAAAAAGCATGAATCGCACATTTTGGTTATTTTCTGAAAGCTCATTGATTGTTTTGCAACAATTTCATAACAATTAGAAAGAGAATGAAATGCTGTTTCGAATGCTACCAAAATCTCTCAGATACCTTTGTTCTATCAAATGTGGCGCCCATTTGAAAAAAGCGAATTTACTATCGGAATGACCTAATATATAATGGAAGTTTATATATATAATGGAAGTGTATATATAATGGAAGATACATTAGATGGAGGTTATGGGCTTTTGTAAATAATGGAAGGGTTCCATTACATATACAAAAACGCTTATAACCTCCGTCTAGAAATCGCGTCGCAAATATAGAAGATACATTTGAGAAAATCGTTTTACGTTGTATCCATTGGTAGTTTCCAAAAATTCTCCGACGCTACGCGTTTTTCTAGATGGAGGTCATGAGCCTTTTTGTACATATCATGGAATTGTGATCTAGGAAGGAAATGACGATTTGTGGATGAACAACATGGTCGAAAACTTGGAAGCGTTCGGATGAACTCGAATTAGACTACAGTGCTTATTAGGTGGTTTGCTTAAGCTTGCACACTTTTGTGTAGAGATTATCTTGATTTTGCGGCTCAAATTGCACTAAAATTTGGCTTTAGAAAAGCTCATAACTTTTTTTAGAACAATGCATCGCAGTTATAGAAGGCAAACCTGAGATCAGCTTTTTAAGCTCTATCCATTGGTATAGATCTCCTTCCGAATCGCCACTTCGACTAAGTGAACTTCCCTTGTGAGACTTGCAATTATGGAGAAGAAGCTAAAATAGCTGTCAGGTCACAATTTCAAATTTTCTCCTGAGATGAACTGAATATGCATGGCTTAATCTTGATCGAAATAAAAAAAAACCAATAGCAAAAAGAAATCTAGGGCGGACGGTATTCACAGATTACTTGGTTGCTGATTGGACGTTTCACTTTTATGAAAGCGTCCGGCCAGAGAGCGCCCAACCCATGACCTAAATGTTTCGAGGTGAAAGTTTCGGGCTCAGGCTTGAACAGGCAGTAGAGCCCTATCCGTCAGAACAGGGTTTTCCTTGCCTGATGTAGCCTTGCCAGGTCAGACGCACGATCTCAGAGTGTATCCTAATTCAGTGTTTACTTTATACCCTTTGATTCAACGGGCGTGACTGCTCGCGCCCGTGACGCAGTCTGCATCTCTCCCTTGCGAGCGTGTTCTCTGATCATTCTCTAACCTTGATTAGGCCTCGAAGCCGCGCCTTCCAGGCGCCAATCCCGTTAAATCAAAGAGTGATTGATGGGATTGTGCGATGACAGGCAATGTAATCCAGCTACAGCTTTCCCAAATAGATTTTGATGTGTATTGTGTTTCACTAAAGTAGAGCTCATGAAAGGGAAGATAAGCTATTTCAAGTAAATATCAGGTTTTTCCATAAGTTCCGTCCATTTTCAATTCTCACCTTAACAACTTCCACTTTTGTTGGTTCTCAAAAAAGGCTTAGGGTATCTTTTGATAGAAGCAAGTTCTATAAAGGAATGCCCAAAGCTCTTTCCACATTTTTTTAGGGCTAGAAATTGAGACACAAAATCATCGCTTTGGATAAAAACGTGCCAATTTCCGTTTTCTCTGGTTCTAACCCTAAAAAGAAATACCAAGTTTACTTACGAATTAGATGATAAGTTTATATGCTTGAACAAGTTTGAGCCTCTATCAAATTTCCAGGGCAGAGTTTCGTTTTTTTAAACTCTGCTCTGAAAATTCGGGCTTCTAGAACTTCTTACATTATTATTTAAGACGACTAATTTCGAAACAATCTTTCTGTGAATGTTTAAACACCAGTTCGTAGAGTTGCTTTGCTCTACCAAAAATTGCTTCGTGCTAGACAATAAGCACCTCAAGATGTGATCACCCCAATGACCAGTATCAGAGCACACTTTTATAGAGCATACTCGAAGGATGGACAAAAATATCGGTTATCGGTTTCCTGACCAAGTAACCTTTTAAAGTGAAGGGACAGGCTTGAATAGATTGCGCCTTTTGAAGGGAGCAAATGATGCACAAGCAAAGCATCTTTCATTACAACTCTACGGTAAACTTTGGAGACATTCATCAAAGAATTTGAAACCGATCTTGTTACTGAAGAAAGATTTTATGGCATGACACTTGAATCAATAAAACTGCTAGATTTGCATCCGCGCGCTTCGGGACCGCATTGCGTTTCCCGCTATCTGATGTTTTTTGAATGGCATTACGATTCCTTACATATTAGATAACTAGCACGAGAGTAGTCAGACAAAAGCAAACATTTTTGAAGTTTTCGTCTTTGGTGACCGAAAAATCTAACGATGTTGTGAACGCAATCTAAAATACAGGGTGTCCCAAAAAAAATGTGCCTACTGTTTGATTGTAAATAACTCTCTTGTAATGAAGTCTATCGAGAAGCTTTAGGTACCGATCTGTAGGGCGAAGCTAAACTTAGATTTACAGTATGGAGCGAATCATCTATCTCTCTTCATTACCGTAGGATTACGGTACGAAATTCGACAAAGATTTTAGGCCATTGGAGGCTATAATCTGCCTCGGAACAAAACCAAACAAGCCAAAAACTCTCATACTACAGTAATAAGAGCAGCTCGTTTCGATTCTGAAACTCCCATTTTACTGCCATGCTTCTATTCAGAGTTATACCCGGTAAATCGTAATAACTCAATTCCCAGCATTTGTCAAAAATGTGATTACACCTTCAAAAAAGCTGAAAACACTCGTAAAAAGTTGTTAGGTGAAATTATCAAGTGAGAAAACCCTAGTACACGATTTTTCAGACTTCTTGAAGAGAATTTTGTTAGGTGGTATATTTCACACTGGTTTCATATGCTGCAAGTTCGTACCGTAATTTTACAGTAATGAAAAGAGATAGATGATTCGCTCCATACTGTAAATCTAAGTTTAACCTCGCTCTACAAAACGGTACCTGAAGCTTCTCGAAACACTTCATTACAAGAGAGTTATTTGCAATCAAACAGTAGGCACATTTTTTTGGGACACCCTGTATAAAGAGAGATCAATGAGAAAACTTTCAGGATTTTTCGGGAGGAGAGCATATAAGATCTAATTTTTTGCAAGCGAAAAAGTTTAGGGGCACGAAATTGCTAAAATCGAAAGAGCTCTGTCATTCGAAATTTGGCTATTTCTGCATCTGGCATGTGAATACTGTTTCAGCGACGACCAAAATGTCCGAATTTTTTATCGGCTGACGTTTCGGCGATATCGCCTTTTGTAGCTAACATCAATGAGCTAATAAACATTAAATAACTAGCTAATAAACAGTAAATACTTTTTTGCCATATTCAGGCCAATGGAACGTGATATCTATCTCTCCACAACAGCTAAGACAGACCATAATGGTGACTATGGGCTTCAAAGAATTCAGGAAGTGTATGAGAATTGGGTTGCAATATTTGTGTGTTTCACCTGTAACACTACCAATAAAGGATCGATTTGTTGCTTATTTCAGTAAATAAAAACTACAATTCCCACCGTCGCATACTACAAAAGATTGATCGGCGTAAACCTTGGACAAATCCAAAGCAAAATTACAATGTGTGCTTAGAAAATAACCCACTGAGGAAACTTGTTGTGGTGAAAGCTACGATCAGCCAAGGAGCTCACATCGACACGCCTACGGTGCTCAAAGTAGTCTCCTTTTCTAGGGGATCTGTATACACCTCAAATATTCATCTTGCTAAGACTGGGCTTATAGTGATCCGAAAGTTCTGGAAAAGTTCCAGCATACTCCTGGCACTGTGTTGGAGCTGTGCCGGAACTGTGCTGCATGCGCTGCAGCCGCCAGCACGCGGTTATGAGCGGCGCGAACTAGCAACTTGATCTTTTTCAGCGGTTTTCAAAGTACATTTTGCTCATTTTCGCCACATTCTTGCATCTAGCTTGCTCTCGCAATTAAAGAAGGTGCAAGCTTGGAGAGGGGGACAAGAGTGAGCGCTATTTCGTTATGTATTAGGTTGGCACATAAGTAATGCAACTTTTCATATAACTTTTCTCTTTTTGAACGTAGCGCATTCATATTTTGGCAATATAAATATAATGATTGTGATGTAAGCTTCTATTGCACACATTTTTGCCGAATTTTACCGCCTTATATAAGAATTACGGTAGGTTTACGGTACTATCGGAAAAATTGTAGAATGCATCAGATTTTGCTGAAAATTGACCATAGGACTTATTTGACATGCTGATCACAAAAATGAGATCCGTTTCGCATGAAAAGGCCTCGTTCATCAGATCGAAAAATGAGTTACATTTTAGCGACAAATGTATATGATATTCTTGTTCACCGTGTATGATTACCCTGCAGTGCAAAATTATGGCGAATTCTGACTTTTCGCAGCTTGCAAGGGAAGCGTCTTTGGTTGCCTTTCTACATGGCACCTATGAAATTTTGTGGAGCATCGAACGATGATTCCAAATCCGTCTTCCATATCTGCAAAGCGCCTCTGGAGCCGAGTTATGGGCTTTTTTAAGTCGAAAAAACCGAACACACAACTGAGATAAAATCGCCCAAGACGCTCAAATGGTCAGGTGTTCATTATCAAAGCACTTCATTTAATTAATACCTTCTGTCTAATACCTTAACACTCAACTTTGCTCTAATTGAGCGCAGAAAGTATCGTAATTACTGTTTTTACACAAAATCTGCCTTCATTTTTTGCTCCAAAAAAACTCATAACTCGGTGCCCAGGGGCGCTTGGCAGATATTAAAAACAGGTTGGAATCAGCGTTAAATGCTCTTCAAAGTATGATAAAAATCATTTGGAAAAGCCACTTCGACTAAAGACGCTTTCCTTGTTAGTTATTGACAGATTGCCTTCAAAACTTGACATTGCATTTGACTTGTTCAACTTTTCAAAGGCGCCCCAAATTGATTTGTGTTCGAATTTCGTTTCTTTTTTACTGATTCCGACGTGTCCACCTCTAGCTACATGCTGCCTTCATTTGCTTTTTGATATGATTCCAGATTTCGTAGGGCCTCGGTTTTCAGCAGTTTTCAAAAAATGCTTAGATTTTTTGTACTTAGTTGTCAAAATCAAACGCAGACTTGCTTTTGATTTTTGACAACGTTTGCGCAGACTTACAGCTTACATCACGGTCTAGATGATGCCACAAAATGAGATTGCTACATAAAATAAGAGAAAAGTTAGGGGAAAAGTTGGAAAACTTATGTGCCAACCTAATACATCAGGCTGAAACTGTTACACACTGGTACCATCCATTCGTGTACATTTCTTCAAATCTGAGTTCCTTCATCAGAAACGAAACGGTAATCAAAAACGTACGAGCAAGCAGTATGCGTGGTGAAAAGAAATGCGAAAAGAAAGCAGGAAACAAATCTCATTAAAAAATGAGAAAAATTCGCGATCTCCACTATTTTGGTGATAGTATTAGTCCATCCTGAGGACAGCTTGTGATGGAGGACGAGGACGCAGCAATTCTAAATTATAAAATGAATGTTTTACAAAGTTCGTGTAAAAGAAAAGATATGCAAAAAAACACGTTTTTGCGGACAACAAAACATGAAACAAAACAAAACAAGCTTGATCCTCGCTTCGTCGAAATTGTCTTCTCCAAAAAAAAATAAGGCCTCACGATGGTCGGCCGCCTCAACGTGGCGTGGGGGTGACACTGGGTTTCGAGCTGCGATGCACAGCCCAGTGTAGTACTCTGGTAGGGCCTCTCAAGCAGTGAAGGAGCTCGACGTTGCAGTGCCAGCCAAGCCAGATCACTCGCCGTCTGGTTTTTTCCGGTCGCTAGGCGTTCCCCGCATCTCGGGTCAGCGATTGCCGGTGAAAATCAAGAGTAGGCCTAGTATGTCTGCTCTTGTAGAGGAAAGCTTTTTTTACTAGATCAGCAAAAAGAAGGGAAATAAACCCTGCACATCGGATCCCGCCTGCGGGTAGCAAGAACGATGTCAGGGTACTCAGGGCGCCTTTCGGATTGGACAAAAACGACACGTCTGCCCGGATGACACGCCATAAACTGCCTTACGCTCTGCGCCTACAACGCCAAGACAGTCTCACAAGCGCCGACCTCCACGATCTTCTCGACACTGAAGAGCACATCAAATACCACGTCATCGCTCTGCAGGAAACGAAGTCCAGGAAGAAAGACGTGCGACAAATGAGCGATGAGACCCTCATTATTCCTGGTGAAAAGGTTCCATCACGAAACTTTGGAGACGTTGATTTTGTCGTCCACCCATTAATCGTCCGTCTTGTCGATTCGCATGAGATCTTTTCACCTCGAATAGTCATCCTACGACTACGACCTCCCTCCACGTCAGAAGACCATCAGCATCATTAACTGCTACTCATTAAATTCAGCACCTGATTGTAAGAGTCCCTTTACTAATGCAGGTGTTTACAGAAAGCAGCGGAGATAACGCTGATAGCACGCCGAACCGCGTACAGGAGGATGGCGCGAGGAGGAAGAAGGGACTCCCAGCTGCAGAGCGGTACGCTCACCCACAGATCGTTATGCATCAATCTCTGCTGTTTTTTCTGTGTCTTCACGTACTGTGTCTAATAAATCATATTATTACGACTCTGGATCGCCAACTAGTAAGCAGGATATATATATATAGGGCCCAGATCTTACTTGATGATTTAGAGGTAGATGCTTTTAACGAAGACGTGGAGCAGGTCGTCTTCAACGAGAAGTCTTTTCACAGATTCATTGTGGGCAACTTCAACGCGAAGATCGGGATGCCACTAGAAGAGGAATATAGGATCGGAAGTTTGGATATCGGTAACATAGGTAACAGATAGTTTGGATATGGGTAATAGTTAGTAGTAGTTAGTAGGTAGTTTGGATATTGGTAACATAGGTATATCTTATACTAGTTGACTTACCCGGCTCCGCCCGGCCCTATCATTATTAAATTCGTAATCAGCATGCTCGATTACCCCCCTCTGTCAACTCCCAGCCCCGTAGCTTTTTGCAAAAAATCGATAAAATCGATATCGATGACGAAAAGTAGCCTATGACACCCGCCGGGGCCCGAAGTGTATGTGTGCCAAGTTTGGTCCGGATCGGTTTAAAAATGGAATTTTCTATTCGGAACATACGTACAGACATACAGACAGACAGACAGACATATAGACAAACATACATTCAGCCTTATATATCTTATATATAAAGTTGAATGTCTGTATGTCTGTATGTCTGTCTGTCTGTATGTCTGTACGTATGTGCGAAATAGAAATTTTTATTTCTGAACCGATTTGGACCAAACTTGGCACACATATACTTCGGGGCAGGGAGCGTGTCATAGGCTACTTTTCGTCATCGATCGATATTGATTTTATCGATTTTTTGCAAAATTTGAGCTACAGGGCTGGGAGTTGGCACAGGGGGTAATCGAGCTTGCTGATCACCCCCGTGGGGGGTGATCAGCATGCTCGATTACACCCCCCCCCCCCCCAAATTCCAGCCCCCTAGCTCAAATTTTGCAAAAAATCGATAAAATCGACATCGATCGATAACGAAAAGTGGACTGTGGCACCCCCGGGGCCCGAAAGTGTATGTGTGCAAAGTTTGGTCCCGATCGGTTCAGAAATGGAATTTTCTATTCGGAACATACGGCGGAGCCGGGTAAGCCAGCTAGTAAGATATAAAGCTGAATGTCTGTTTGTATGTATGTCTGTGTATATGTCTGTATGTACGTATGTTCCGAATAGAAAATTCCATTTCTGAACCGATCCGGACCAAACTTGGCACACATACACTTCGGGACCCGGCGGGTGTCATAGGCTACTTTTCGTTATTGATCGATATCGATTCATCAATTTTTACCGATTTTTTTGCAGAGATCACCTACGGGGCTGGGAGTTGACACAGGGGTTAATCGAGCATGCTGATTACGAGTTCGATATTAGTTTGGCGCTATTCGGCTATCCGGGCCCCAAAATCTTTTCTGTGGTAGAGCTTGCTCAAACTTCGTATATAAGGGAATCTTAAGGGCCGGGCATACTTCAAGCGATTTCAATCGCGACTCGATTTGGCAATATTCCAGGTGTCTATAACTCATTGTAAGCACATAATAAATGTACAGAAGATAGGGCATTTCATCAGTTTACGTAAGTTATACACACGATGCATGTGCGGTTTGCTAATGTTGAATCCGAAGACTTCTGGCGAATTGCCAAATCGCGTCGCGACTGAAATCGCGTGAAATATGCCCGGCCCTTTACAAGCTGATTACAGATATCACACTTTCTCCGCAGAACGTCTTCCTGTGTGGTTACGATAGGTGTACGGTAGGAAGTCAAAATCATAAATTCGGCTAGAGTTCGGTCCATATGGCTTACTCGACATGCTAATTACGAATGTCATCTCTCTCTGCATATTGGGACCTTTTCATAGAGTTGTGATGGTTATATGGCATGGGGTCGAAAACATAGTTTTGTTTTAAAACTTCGTC